AGAGAGAGAGAGAGAGAATCTTAAGCAGGCTCTATGCCCAGCGCAGAGCCTGCAGGGCTCAGTCACCACCTGAACCTAAATCAAGAGTCCTACACTTAAGCGACTGAGCTACCCAGGTGCCCCCTTTCATTTTGATTTTGGAATGCGAAATTTGTGATTTCAGGGAATCTTGAGTTAAAGATCATTTTTCTCTGTATACCTGAAATTTCCACCACTGTTCCCTATGCAATGTCCCAGCCGCTGTCAACATTCAGCTTCCCTGATGCTTTTTTCTAGTCTTTTTGAACTCCTCAGTGCTTAGCTTCTATTTATTCTCTTATAGCATTTAACCTCATTCTTCTTTTCCTAAAATTGCATATGTGCCAACCTTATCTCTTTTTCTGACTACAAGTTCCTCATTTGCTAAAAAGTAGAGTGCCGGTTGAGCACCTAGCACTCTGTGCCTTGCACATAATAGATCCCCTGTCAAGATTTACTTCAGCAATACAACTGAATGAGTTAGTTGGCCTCGTATGGGTTGTGTAATGCAAAGCCTTTTTTCCCCTTAAATTCGGGCTTAGGGTGGAGTTACACAAAGCCTAGTGGGGTGGAGGTGCAGGGGGGGAGGTTCCAAAGCCAGCCCAGATGGTAAAATAGTGTATAATCAAAGCTACTTTCGAAAATCTTTTAGGGAGGCACCATATTGGATGTAGGTATATGGGCACAGCAAAATTCCAGCATGGCCAGGTTTTCCTCCAGCTTTGAAACGGATGTTGTTTTTCTTCCTTTGAGCCTCAGGTGAAGTGGCTGGTCTGCATTTAGGAGTCACAATGTGTGAAAAAAAAAAACAACTGAAATTAGAATCATATATAGAAAGTGCTTATACTGAGAGGCATACACAGACTGGGGAACTGAGGATCCGCCAAGGGGATCAGTATTTTAAGTTCTTTTTCTTCCAGTGCATATAGATGAACTCAGGGTAAAAGCACATATGATGAGACTGTTCTTGTGCTATGGAAAGCTAAATGTATATATATAGGTTTGTTTAAAAAAAATTTTTTTTATTGCATGTGGTTTTTTTTTTTAATTTTATTAATTTATTTGACAGAGAGAGCGAGAGCAGGAATATAAGCAGGGGGAGTTGGGAGAGGGAGAAGCAGGCCTCCCGCCGAGCAGGGAGCCCAATACGGGGCTCGATCCCAGGAGTCTGGGAACATGACCTGAGCCAAAGGCAGACGCTTAACGACTGAGCCACCCAGGTGCCCCGCCTGTGTTTTTTTTTTTTTAGATGCATTTAGATGTTTTTTTTAGAAGATTACTACAAATTGCGCTTTATAATAAACATTTTATATATGAATGAAATTGCTTATGCTATATGCTGATGTTTAGATTATTTTAGTCTCCTTTGCTACTGGAGTATGTTAAATAAGCCTTAGTGTTAGACTGAGAATTACTTTGTCTAGTAGTAAATGCTAGTAGTGTTCTCTGTTAGTAGTTGTCATGCTCTGAAGTTTTAAAATATAGAGGGAAAGCCCTCTTGATCTGAATTACCGTGGCTTGGTAGAAGTGACTTCTGGCCTGAAAGCTATCTATTTGGAATATAGTTGAGTTTGCCCGATGGCAAATTCCTCTTAATTGCTGTCCTGCGTTTTGAAGTCCCATGTGACTTAAACATCAGGATCAAAATGTTGGAAGGGCAGTACTTAAGTATATTTACTGACAAAAGGAAAGTAGATTGGCCTATTGTTTTTGCTAACCAAAGAGAAGCCTTATAGCACCATAACACAGAAATCCGATTCCCCCTGGTGTGTTTTTATACTACAGTCTATCTAATGTTAGAATTAGGAGGGGGTAGTGGCCAGTGATGTAAACACTTAAGTAGTCTGCCATCACAGAATTCAATTCTGTAGGAAACCAGATCTCATTAACTTGTATCATGGCACTAGGTAAATGGAATAATTTTTCAAGTCAGCAATAGCAATTACTTTGGGGGTAGCAACGTAAGTTTTCTGTCTTGTATAGCATGTGGTGTAAGACACTGAGCCCATTTTGTCCCACCAACCTGGAAATTAAATACCACAGTCTCCAGTACAGACACCGGAGTGCAGTGTTTAACAGTTACTTTGGCTTGAAATAATAACTTTGTTTTTTTTGGCTGTCAAGCAAATTTGAAAACTATGTTCTTTGTGTCGGTTTGAAACTTTTAAGTTTGGACAAAGTGATTTTGGTATGGTTTTGGTTTTCCATTAATTCCCTATTTGAAGAACTTAAATAATCCTTTTTAAAATAATGTAATGTTTAGTTTGATAATTAGACTTGAATCACCTCAGAAATAAAAAAGCTATGTGAGTAAAGGAAAATTGACAGCATGTATTTTTTTTTTTTTTACAATTAAGCACACTGAACAAAATGAATATTCCCAGTGTAAATCCTCTTCATTCCTACATGAATCTTTATAGTTTGATCCCAGACTCCTGGTTTTGTGTTTTTTTGGTTTTTTTTTTTAAAGATTTTATTTATTTATTTGAGACAGAGAGTGAGAGAGAGAGAGCACATGAGAGGGGGGAGGGTCAGAGGCAGAAGCAGGCTCCCTGCTGAGCAGGGAGCCCGAATCGGGACTCGATCCAGGGACTCCAGGATCATGACCTGACCCGAAGGCAGTCGCTTAACCAACTGAGCCACCCAGGCGCCCTGTGTTTTGTTTTTAATTATTCTAGCGAACGAAGGGGAAAAATAAAGAGACTTGTGAAAATTTAGCTAGGCAGTAGGAATTAGAAATAAACAGTTTAATTTCCAGTTTTTGCCTCCTTCCAGAGGAGGTAAATGAGCTGCAAGTACTCATCACCTCCCTCTTGCAGAATAAACAACCACTGAAAATTGAACTCTTCAAAGAAGATGCTTTGTGTGGGAAATACTTATTCATCAGTATAACAGAGCATTTTTTAGTCAGTTGAAATTAAAGGAAAGTAGGGAGGAAGAAGACATCAATTACATAATATAGGAAAGTGATTTAATTTTTGGTTGTGTGTTTCCAACTGCCCAGTTTTGTCATGTTTGTTTTTTAAAGATTTTTATTTATTTGTCAGAGAGAGAGAGCACAAGCAGGGGGAGCAGCAGAGGGAGAGGGAGAAGCAGGCTCCTCACTGAACAAGGAGCCCGATGTGGGACTCGATCCCAGGACCCTGGGATCATGACCTGAGCCGAAGGCAGATGCTTAACGACTGAGCCACCCAGGCGTCCCTGCCCAGTTTTGTCATGTTTGAATAGCACTCCCTATGGGACATAGAAGCTTGAGCAAATACGTAATGTCTACCATTTTCTTTAACTTACATTGGACAATACCTCAGAGTATTCATGTGAGATCATTTTTTCCTGCTTAAATTCTTCGAATCCTCTTCATGGTTGGTTTATTCAATAAGTATTTATTATCTGCCTAATGTATGCCAGACACTGTGCTGGATACTGGATACAAAGCGCTGCTGAAATAGTCACAAACGACAAAACACAATGGCTAAGTGCTGCAGCGAGTTACAAATGGCTTGAGTAGGGGCGAGAGTAGAAACAGGGAGGCTAATGGAAGCCTATTGCAGTAGCCCTTGCTGGATGAGGCCCTGAAAAGAAGAGATTAGAAAGGGTTCTTCTCTTAAAAGAGAGCATGGATTAAAAAGAGGTCATTATGAGGTAGAAACAGCAGAACTTGGTGACTGGTGAGATGCAATGAATTGAGGGAGAAGGAGTCTTAGGTTCATGGCTGGGTTTTCAGCCTGGGAAACGGGATTGATCCGTATTTATGCCCTTCATTGTTATCTCTTACCTGTACTATTCACTTTGGCAATTCATTATATACACTATTATCTGGTATTAACTAGTGTAAGAGTACTAACTCTTCTATTTATTTTTTAAAGATTTTATTTATTTGTCAGAGAGAGGCAGGGGGAGCAGCAGGCAGAGGGAGAAGCAGGCTCCCTGCTGAGCAAGGAGCCACATACCATATGGGACTCCATCCCAGGACCCTTAAGGCAGATGCTTAACCAACTGAGCCACCCAGGCGTCCCAGAGTACTAACTCTTTTAAAGTTGATTTCCTCTCTGCACCCCATAGAATCTGGCACAGTGGTGGACATAGAGTTCAGCATTCAGCACAATGTCCAGTTTATTTAAAATGAACTATTAATAAAACAGTAAAATAGAGAACCACACTAAAGGGAAAATATAGAATTACCTAATTATATATACATGTAAGTTTTTCCTAATTTCCCTCCGTTTGATGTGATCCCTTTGTTTACGTATTATCTAGCTAATCCCTATGTTTCTATCACTGATCTATTTCCCCCCCCCCACTCCTTGAGTGCAGACGGAATTTCTCTCACTCCTGTACCCGGTCCAGGGCTTCGCTTGAGTGCTTTGTAGTAATGGCTAACTTTTCAAAGCATTTTTTAAGTGCGTGTCAAACACTATGCTAAGTGCTTTGCATGAATTACCTTGTTTATCCTCACAAAAGCTCTCTGTTGTGCCGACTGTTTTAATCCCCACTGGTGAGTGCATCCTGTGGACGAGGGAACCACGACTCCGAGGACTTAAGTGACTTGCCCAGGGCCTACAGCTTGTAACTGGCAGAACCAAGGTCTCTGGATTTCAGACAGAGTGTAGTATTTATCATTATCTGTGCTGCCTTGTGTAAGGAGACCAGCACAGAAGGTACTTGTTATATACTGGGGGGATTGGATTAGGTTGTAGTGAAAGGTTTGTGAGGTGAAGCTTGCTTCTTGGCAGTGTGTATTTGACAGTGACATTTTGAATCCTGAAAAAACCTGGATATTTCTGGAGAAGGAATATCCTGAACATTATCCAGAATACTCAGGAGTATGGCCACTTGTTCATGAACATTTCTGTCCCTGTCTCTGACCTCTCCTAATATAGAAAGATGACCAGATAGCCAGGAGTGCCGCTGGGGGCGTGGAAGGCAAGGAGGGAATGACGGTTGAAGCGCTGGGGAATGAGGCCTATGGAAGATGTGCAAAGTGTAGGAAGAGAGGATAGAACAGTCTGTATTCTAGTCTTGTACCTTTTAAACTCACAGAAATTCATTGTAATTAGGTTGGCCATCTAGCTTGTTTTATTTATTTTGAGATCCAGGGAATATCAGGATTATTAGCTTTAAAGAGCAGACTTTCCTAAGTGTTCGTTAGTTTTGACTCTGTTTTCAGGAAACCATCCCTTTGAGAACAGTAGTTTCTGTCAAATTCTAAAGCCATTCATTGTCTTTCAATTTCCTTTTTTCAGTGTGCTGCTTTATTTTCATTTTCGTTAACCATCTCTGATTCCTGGTTTTCTCCCTGTGGCGTGAAAGATGGTTAATAGCACAGACTCAACCCTTTGGGTAGAAGTTGAATTCTAACACTTAAGAGGAAAGGATTGATGAGAAAGAAAATAAGAATTTCTTGGAATCCTATAAGTTTACCTTTTCCCAAAATTGATTGATAAGTGTTGGGAAGATTGTTATTTCTCTAGAGTTTATATTTCAAATTCAACCCCTTTTGCACATGTGTCTTGAAGGCTTTGTCCCTTGCGTTTCAGGGATTTTTGTTAAGTGAAGATAGGTTCTTCCTTTTCCAAAAATTCAGCAGGCCGTGAAAATTAATGATTTTACTTTCTTAATTTTGAGTTATAAGAATAAATCATACAGTCTGCATTCTTATGTAGATGGAAGCATGTGAGATTCTAGGTTTTTTCATTTTGGCCTATTGGAACACTGCTTTCAATATTAACTAACGTATTTTTTTTCTTTCATTTTTTAAAATGTACAATGAGAATGAAGAGATGCATTTAGTAGGAATGCCAGGGCATTGTCATATCCTAATATTTATTTCCCAGGTTTAAATCCTATATGCACTGATAAGTTCACTGCTTTGAGACACTATTATTTTTCTCCATTTCATAAGATTAAAAGAACTAAGGATGTTTGGCCCAGAAAAGTGACAGATTAGGAGGAATGTGGGAGTTGTCTTCAGTTGAAGCATTGTTGAATTGAAAAAAGGATTTGGCTCCTTTTTGGTAGTCCCAGTGGATTGAACCTATATGTGGAATTTAAAGGGAGACAGATTTCAGTTTGGTTTAAGGAAGAACTGTCCAACGGGTCAGATCTACTTAGGGAGTCAGCTGCCTGGGAGTGAGTGCATTGGTCCCTGTTGAAGTTTTAGAATATGGGTTGGATGAAAATCTAGGTATGTGTGGTAGATTCGTATGTTGGATGAAGAATCATATTAGGTGGGTTATAAGGACCTGCCCCACGCTGAATTATTTACCAGGAAGTAAGGGTGAGGGGAAGAAACCAGATAGCCAATTTAGGGTGAGGGAGGAGAGCTGCAGCAGGCTAACAGAGGATAAGAAAGGAGGACATCGAGGGTCCGGTGTGTCTCTCCCACTCATAAGAGTCCCAGTTTAAGAATATGTTGGCTCTTATTTCGTAAGGCATTATTCTGCAGAAGTTGAGGAATTTTTGGCATGGTTAGCAGAGACAGAATAATTCTGTTTCTGTACCAGGCCTCTGGCTGGAGACATTGAATGAGGCTAAATCATAAGTGTCCAGGTTGTGGGCTTCAGGTGGGAACAATAGCTTCTGCCAGTGGATTTGGTTTTCTTTCTAGAAAATTTCAAAATTCTCTCTCAGGGTTGTTACATTGAACTAAATTGTAGCTGCAGGGGGATTTAGGCTGAAACTATTCTGTTGTTCAGAACATTTGGATTTGTTTTCTCAGCTTCCATTTTCATCTCTATTAAGATGTTTACACGAACATTTTCAGCCTGGAATTTGGTATAGGAAGAAAGCTGAAACTGACATGTCCTTCTTCTCAAACCAGGATCCCAGGTTTCTGGGGAGGGGGATGGTGAAGTGGATAAGAGTATGAATTTTTTATGTCAGACCTGGATTTTATTCTCAGCTCTACCATTCACCACCTTTTATTACCTTAGAAGAGTGACTTAACTTCTCTGGGCTCCCATTTCTTCATCTGTAAAGAGCTAATATTTCTCATAGATCAATGGGAGCATAAATGAGATACTTATATAAAAATGTATTTAGTGCATGGTAAGACTCAATAGATGGCAGCTACTTTATTTTTGTGCTGTCAGTAGACTTTTTTTTTTTTTTGTGAGACAGCAAGAGCATGAGTGGTGGTGGGGGGAAGGGCAGGGGCAGAGGGAAAGGGAGAGAATCTTTTTTTTTTTTTTTTAAGATTTTATTTATTTATTCATGAGAGACAGAGAGAGAGAGGCAGAGGGAGAAGCAGGCTCCCAAGGAGCAGGGAG